CCCCAAAACCCCAAAACCCCAAAACCCCTATTATCAGCTTAAAATTGAACAATTTATACCAAAAATTATCCTAAATGAACCATCTTTTCAAAGAATGATCGAGTTTTGGATACTCTCAGATTGGAAAATTCTTGCTGAAATTTAAGGAAATTACAGGCCTCTTCCTTTTCAATAGCCGTCATTGGCGAGCTCTTATTGACCAAAAATCTGTAGTCCACAAAACTCATAGATATTAGAGGGGCCGGTAGAGGTCTGTGCATCGGACTCTGTGTATTCAGCATATTGAAGAAATTAGAGAAATCCTTCACCTGTTCCTCTTCCAAAGGAGACAGTTCAGTTTGAAGTCTGCCTCTCTTCTTGTCACTTCCTACACTGTTTGCTTTCATAAGTTCTGCCTTCTTGGCAAGGATGTTGAGGAGATTTGTATCTGGGAGAATAGCCATTATGGAGATACTAACTGTGGCTTCTTTGAGGCAATCTTCAATAGTATTCGCTTTGCTATAAATTTTATCACAGAGTTAAAAGATCCTACTTACCCTGCTTTAATAAAAATATCATCAACTTTAAGTTGAATCTCAAATTCAAACAGCTTCGAATCACATTGTTCATAAAATCTATCAATTTCTTTAAGTACTGCATTTTTCAGAGAACCTCTCTCACATGAGACAGCAGCCTCTCCTCGGTTATTCCACTGAAAAATTTTCCTTTGTTCTTCTCCAAAGTAATAATAAGCTTTAGCTTGGAAATCTTCTTGAGCACTTCTCAAAATTCTCTGTTCAGCAACTTCAAGAAGAGCTTCAACTATCGGAAAAGACTTGTTACCAACCAAAAGTACAACTTTAGCGAAGTGGTCTTGGATGTTATTCCAGAGCTCAGGTTCTTTCCACAAGTATTCCAAAATGAAGTCAACTCTTTTCGAAAGGTACTCTTCAGGTGTGAGCAAGTACTTGAAACTGTTGTCATGGAGTATCCTATCGATCTTAAAAGGCTCTTCTTTTAGCTTACTCTCCTCTATCCCACCTTGAGTTACTGACAATTCGTTGTACTTAGTAATCTTCATAGAAGGATCGTACAAAGGGTTATCATCTTCACTCCAATAATCCTTGAACACTGCAAAAGAGTAGATATTCTCTTTCAGAAGGAAGATAAAACTCTCGTCTTTGATTGTCTCCCTAATTGTGAAATTTTCTTTCTCTCTTAACAGGTGATACTGATCTCTAATTTTCTTATTAAAAATCCTCTGTTTGCTGTTTGTAAAGAGCTGATTCTCTGACCCTGAGGTCCATATGGCTGATCGCTTTACTCTGGCCATCAATCTCCATTGAAATCTCCTGCTTTTCTTGGGCAAGCTGTGCAATCTCTTCATCCAGCTGGTTGATTTGGCAATCAAATTGTTCTGATTCTTCCATTTGTTTCATGTATTCTTGGTCACAAAACTCGGTTTCTTCTTGAACCTTCTTATTTTTCTCCGTATTTTCTTCTAAAGATAGTTAGTTTGAGATTAAAATTACTGCCTGCTATTTGGAGAAGGAGCAGCTGCATCTCAAGATCGTTGATTTGCATCTCTCTATTTTCACTCTATACAAAAATGAATGTCTCTAAATTTTAGTCAGGTATTAGGAAGAAAGCCTACCTCTCTGTTGCTGGCATGTTGCAAATCAACGCATTCAATAATAAGTTTCCTTACCATCTCTTTTGAAGTGAGAAGTTGATTTTTGAGCTTTCTCCCATGATTCTTATTTCTGGGCCAGCTCCCTCTCCTCTTTGGTCTTTGGAGCATTGGTTACGTTATTTAAAAGGACCCTGATATTTCTTACTAACAAATTAAGCGATTATCATACCTCACAGCTTCTCTCTTAGACTTTGTAGTAATTAGTTTAGAAGATTTAGCAGTTTTACTAAGAATTAGGCTGAAATACTTACTTCTTGGTAACTTTTGCCAAGGTTTTCATTACACTACTTGTGGTAGTCTTGTCAAGACCAACCTCCTCTTGAGAGGAAACATCATAGCCAGAGTCAATTTTCTGTTGGGAAGTTGGGTATACTAGAGGGAGTCCATTTTCGCCTCTCTTCTTTTTCTCTCTCACAGGGGCATACCGCGATTTTATGTTTCTATTCATATTTGCGCAAAAATTCAATTATTAAAAACTAGTCAGGGGTTTTGGGGTTTTGGGGTTTTGGGG